ATCTTATGTTTTACAGATACCAGCAGGCCCACTGTTTTGTTGGGTTTTTTTGGTTTGGTTTTTGGGGCTTGTGGGGTTTTTTTGTTTTTTGGTTTTTTGAGACAGGATTTCTCTGTAGCTTTGGAGCCTATTCTGGAACTCACTCTTTAGCCCAGATTGGCCTTGAATTTACAGAGATCCACCTGCCTCTGCCTTCCTAGTGCTTGGATTAAAGGCCCATTGTTCTTTAATGTCACCTTAATTCTGCTGGGATCAGATGAAGACTGGGAAGAGTGTGTGTCCATCACCTTTGGTTACTGGATGGGAGAGAAGCAAGTAGGCTTAGGAAAGGGGAGCAGACAGCTCCTGACCTCTTTCAGTATCTTACTGTCAGAAATACAAGTTCAAAGCTGAGAGTGGTGGCACAGGCCTTTAATCCAGCACTTAGGAGACAGGTGCAGGCGGATCTCTGGGAGTTGGAGGACTGCCAGGTCTACCGACGAATCCTTGAAGCCAAAAAGAATAAAATAAAAAATAAAAACAAAAGTGCTCTTAGCCAGCCATCTCTCCAGCTCTTTGGGGGGGTTGTTTTTCGAGACAGCGTTTCTCTATGACTTTGGAGCCTGTCCTGGAACTAGCTGGCCTTGAACTCACAGAGATCCGCCTGCCTCTGCCTCCCTAGCACAGGGATTAAAGGCGTGCGCCACCACTGCCCGGTTTACCATTTCCTTTTTAAAACCAGTTCTGCCATTATGCAAATTGAGAAATAGGAAAAGAGAAAGAAAATTTAAGAAAATGGGAATGTATTTAAAGGAGAAGTAGCACTTCCCCCCCCCCCCCAAAAAAAAGGAAGAAGAACAAAATAGCTGATTCCTTCAGAGTGTAGTGCAGACCCTGCCTGTGAAGTAATGCCAGGGTTCTCTGTGTACACGTGGGCACCTTTGAAGGTACTTTCTTCAGGAGAGCTAAAAGAAAGAAGTGAGGATACCCCATTTGTAGGTCAGGGTAGCCTCTCCCTAGAACTTTAATATAAGGACTTCCTCTGGAAGTTGGGCTCACTTGGGTTTACATGATTCCAAAATCAATTTTCTGTGTTTTGTGACAAGAAGCTCTTTTTTATGAATGCAAAAATAATTTGGTTGACTGTTTTACACTGTAGTTTAGTTTGATTGATTAATTAGAAAAACATTTGGCTAAGTCTAGTGTGTACTATTATTCTTTCTACTGGTGTATGTTTGTTAACCAGCATCTCCACTAGGCATGGTCTAGTTCTTAGAGAAGTGAGTAGCTAAAGAAAGCCTCCCCATGGGCCTAAGGGTTTAATTCAGTGGTAATGTTCTTGCCTTATATATGCAAGACTGTGGGTTCCACCCTTGTACAGTAAATACATTTAAGATTTGGGGATTTTTTTTTGTAGAATTCTATCTAAGTACATGCTTTAAACAAGCGAATGAACAGCAGCTCTGGGAGCCAGAGCTGTCACTCCGTCTTCAGCATCCCCAAGAAGGCAAGCTGCAAGGTTCTTCTGTAACAGTAGCAGAGGGGAGAGACCTCTGCCTCCCTTGCTTGCACACCGCCTTTTCCTCCTGAATAGCCTCAGCAGTAGCCTCGAAATGATGCCTTTACTTCTGTAACAGAAGCACTCACAGGAGTTAAGTTCAGTAAAACTCCAGCACCCTTTACCCACTAAGAATGTGACTGCTTTTCCAGAGCAGTGATTTCCCTGTAAAAATCAGGCATTTGACTAGATATGGAGGTATGTGCCTGTAATCCTAGCATCAGGAGTTCAAGGTTCAACGCCAGCCTAGGCTACAGGAGACCCTGTCTCAAAAAAAAGTAAGCTTATGTTTTATTAAATAAAATATACCTTTATGTATATATCAGTATTTTGTATTAGTAGTTAGTATTAGCAATTAAAGTAGTGCTGCAGTCTGAACAGTACAGTTATGTTCCAATTTAAAAATATTAGATTAAATACTTGGATCCTCACAAAAACTGCCGTTTCCCTAAAGCAGCTGCACCTTGCTGTATTAGAGCTGTAGCTCGTTTTCCTTGGGAAGCTGTATTAGAGCTGTAGCTCGTTTTCCTTGGGAAGCTGTATTAGAGCTGTAGCTCGTTTTCCTTGGGAAGCTGTATGTATAACATGAAAGTAGCGGCTGACAGCATGATTCAGTTGAGTCTTTTGTAGACGTTTCTGTTAGAAGTGGTCCTAGACTCCATAGTTGTGGTTATGGAGGCTTTTCTAGAACGCCCTAACCAGCTTGGTTGCTTCTCTGGTTATTTATTCTGTGGTAGCTGAAATGTAGAAGTGACAGTGTTCTTAACTGGAATGTTTTCAAATGGGCACAGTAGTAATGCCTGCCATGGATTGTCTTTACAGGATAAAGATAAAGCCAAAAAGAGAAGGAAGCATAAGAAGCACAGCAAGAAGAAGAAAAAGAAGGCTGCCAGCTCCAGTTCAGACTCGTCATAGCATCGGGAAGACCAGGGTCCCTTACAGGGTGCAATGGTGAAGGAGCTCTTAACTGTGAAGATAACGACATACGTAGTAACGTGCATGAATCCCCTTGTGTTTAGACCTGTCCTGGACTAGTCAGTAGCCACTTGAATGCTGCTGTATGAAAGGCCATGATTGTTGCCTGCTGCCTGAACACCTTTTCCTCTCTCCCAGTGCTCGATGACTCTGGGGGACTGTACTTTGCAGTCATATTAGTGGTTAAGATATTTGGAATAAAGCTAATATTTTTTACTAGATGTACTTAGGATAAGTCAACAGAAACAGTCTGAATCCATCTCTAAGATGTGACCAGAAATAATGAGGTGACTGTAGGGAAATTTTCAAAGTAGGGGTTACATTAATATTTCAAAATTCTTATGCTGTAGATAAGTGTATTTTAATTTTCCCCATGTATATTTTGATTTACTTGGGGAAGGAGCTTTTAAGGGGGGGGGGTTGGTTTGCTATCTCTTAGCTACCAGAACAGCGTGCCTTTGATCTCACACTACTTTTGTGGACACAGTAGCCATGCTTCCTGGGAGGTCAGAGCTGGGCACCATCAGTCCTGCCCTTGAGTGAGGTTAGTGATATCCATTGTATGCTGCTTTGAATGAACCAGAGATACTCAGCCCTTTGCAGCATGAGAAGCCCCCACAGCTCTGGCATTTACCTCCACTTCAGTAATATCTGAATGTTTCTTAGTGTTAGATTGTGTTGTCATTTGATTTAATTCTGCCTACACTTTGACTTTGGAGAAGTGTTTAGTAGACACTGGTACTTTCTGAACTGATAGCTAACAATTCTAAAGTGGACGTTTTATGCAGGTCTTAACCAGTCAGAAGGGGTTATGTAGCCAGTGATAGCTACTTTATGTTTTGTATAGATTTTGTTTAGGCTGCAGTGTTTAACTTTTAACTCCTTACTCTTGCTGTCTTAAGTTCATTACTGTTTAGTGGCACACAAGATATTTAGCATGTAAAAAGCAGGACTTTTGGTTTTTGTTTTTAATAGCTTCATATTGAAGCTAAGACTTTTACCACAAACAAGTTGAGTGGCAGGCCTAGTATGCTGTATCTTGTTACATAAAGCTGTTGCCAGAATCTTAGTAAACAGAATGTTTTAAAAGTTTGTTGTCTTTGTATATTAATAACAGATTATGACATGTTAACTTACATGAAACTACATTACTGCTCTTTCTGTGTCATGTTTTACTGAGATTTTGTGCCTCATCTCTGAGTTATTAGGAATGTTGAAAGGAATTGATAAGTCATTTTCATTTTACACTTTTATATAATCAGGTAATATGAATATAACAATGTACAATTTGCCTGTCAGAGTGTGTGCTAATTATAGTGGAATATGCACAGAACATTTTGGCATGAAAGAGGCTGAATAAATAGCTATTTTACTTAAAATAGCTGTGCTTTTATCTCCCTTTGGGTCACAGGTAGCTACAAAAGTTAGTGATAAATATGCCCTCAGGTTTTTAGTGATAAAATAACACATTTCCTGGGAGGTTCCTTAAAACATTTCCTACTATAGGGTATCAAAACATTTGAGGGATATATGATACCTCCTCCAAAATTTCTTTTTTGCAGAATTGATGTTCAAGACTATTTGGCCAGTTGTTGGTGACTTTTCCTAGGTGTACAGGGGTGGTTTATGGGTTTGTCTAGATATGACAGTTATAGCCTGCAAGAAGCAGCTGTTTGTTGTTCCAGAGAAGGTGGGAGCAGGTGATTTAGAAGAATGGTGAGTCTTTTTCAGACTCTGTTGTCTGGGGCTCACCTTGGTGTTTGGGGTGACCGAAGCAACTCTCCTGAGAAGGATGAAAGAATATTTATGGGGTGTTGTCCCTTATATTAATTCAATGACTACAATAATGTGTACGTTAATAACATACCTTCCTTTTTCCACCAAAACTTGCCTTTTCTCTTTTGGGTGATTTTATACCAAGTTGACAAACAAGGCGCATATCTTACTGAATGACAGCTGCCAGAAAGTGATGAGTGTCTGCTGAAACGTTTGCTGTCTTCATACCAGCGCTAGCTTTTTGGGGGCACTTAGGAGTCCTTTGGTTGCCCTTAAGTGTTTTAAGTGCCCTAAGAGTGTCCAAATTTAATTTTACCCAAAATACAGATTTGGAGTAGGTGACAGCCTTTGAAGGAGCTATTCATAGCTTGGGAAATTATTGTAATCTAAAGAAGGGCTTTGTAATAATTTTTAGTTATATGTTCAAATAGAGAGAAAAATGTTTTGAATTTTCACTGAGGAACTATAAGTGAAAATACCATTTTACACGATCTTAAAGTGGCTACAGTTTTCAGATACACAGAACTTTAACGTCTTCCCTGTATATGTACTGGCTGGCAGCATCCATTTCTTTATCTTTCCAGCTGCTTGAGAATATTCTGTCTAGTTGCTAGGAGGTTGCCAATGGCCACATTCTGTTTTGGAGTAGTAGAGTTAGTGTCAGTTTAGAAGTAGACTACTTGGGAAAGCAGTGTGCTGAAGCCACTCTAAAATGGAGCAAAGGCCTCTGAAGAAGCTGGTGGAATCCATCAGTAAAACTGTCAAGAGCTGTGAGTACTCAGTCTTCAACTGTTTCTACACCGTGATTCGCTGAGACAGATGTTGGTCAGTGGATTAGATAGAAACTTGCTTACTTGCTAGACGCACTGAGTGCTCTGTGACCATACACTAAGAATCTAGTTCTTTATATTCGGTCATTTAAAAAAAAAAAAGAGCCGCACATATAGCACATGTCTTGAATCTCAGTGCTCAGGGAGGCAGAAGCAGGGGGATCTCTGAGGTCAGGTGCTCTAGAGCATGTCCAGGCCAGCCAGGGCTACACAGTGGGACCTTGAGGCAGTGGTGGGTAAAACATGGTCAGGTTTGTAAAGCTCTGCCACACAGGCTGGAGAGCCTGCTTTCGGTCTCTTGGGGCCATAAGAACTGACTCCAGAAAGCTATCCTGACCTACATTCCACACACAAAATAATAACAAATTACTTCTCAAGTAGATGAGCAAGTGAGCCATTACCATGTACTTAAAAACATGGAAGCCATCAGGTGTCCTGACCCATTTGGGCATGTGGGGAGAGTGTCTTGAAAATACATAAATGCAAAAGAATTACCTGCCAACCAAGTGTAGCTTTTATTCTGTTCACAGTAAGAATTTTTAATTACAAGCAATCAATTTGACCAGTTCCAGTGGTTTCTGGTACAAAACTCAGTTACAGATTGCTTTACTTCAGGGATTAATAGAAACACATGAGATAATTTAGTCGGTGAGGTGGGTCAGCAGGTGAACACATTTGCCATGCAAGCTGGACGGCCTGAGTTCAGTTCCCAAGTTCTCTGCCCTCCACACGTTTGTATGCAATAATAACAACTCTTTCGGGTAGGAGTGGCAACAAGGCTCAGTGGATAATGGAACTTGATGCTGGGGGATGCGTGCCTGACAGGCAGAGTTTGGTTGCAAAAACCGTGGAAAGTGGGAGGAAAAAAATCCACAAAGTTGTGACCTCCCTCGCACATTGTGGCATGTTTGTGTACACACATACACATATAGACCCAAAAAACTTTAAATATAATTTAATGCTCACCAGACATGTTGGTGAGCACTCGGAAGGCAGAGGCAGGTGGGTCTCTGAGCTCAAAGCTAGTCTGATCTACATAGAGAATTTCAGGCTACTGGAGCTACACGGTGAGACCCTGTCTCCAACAAAATGAATAGTGTGATGCTTTCCATGTTACAGTGCTTGCTATACACAGCTTAATAGGTCAGTTTTCTTAATCCTTGCCCTGAAAATTGTGATGCATTCTCCTGAGGGTTTGTTTCTCAGAGCTACAATTAATCCTGCATGGTGGTCATTTTCAGTCTAGGCATTGACGTTATTTAACTTCAGCCAGTCTCGAACACTTCCTTGTTCCTTTGGACTTAAGGCGGATGGACAAAATGTTAATTAAGACTTTTGTAAGCTTGGCTTAGCTTTCCCTATTCAAGTTGGGCTATAAAATTATCCGAATCCCTCAAGCACTACTCCAGATCTCTTTTGTTAACCTCTATCATTTAATTCTTAGTAACCCTTAAAGTTTTATAAATTTATCCAATGAGTACAGTAAACACTGATTATTGCTTCTATATATGCACATGGCACACACCTGGATTCACATACACGCTAGAGTGTGTATTGTGTAAGGGGCAGAGGTGGGTAAACCCTGGTGTCTTGTTCAATCTTGTTTCTGTAGGTTTTGTTTTTTAAGATGGACTAAACTAACCCTGGAAGTCACCAGCTGTCTCTGCTTCTCCTGTGCTGGAGAGAAGCTATATACAGTCACTGCTGCACCAGGTCTTTCCATGGATGCTGGGGAGTCAAACTCCAACCCAGACATCTCCCTTAGTCCATTTGATGCTTTTTAAAAGGAGTGTATTTCATAACATAGAAAAGGAAATTTTATATTGTTTTTTTAAATCTAAATTCATCCTAATGAAACTATTTTAGATATGTCTGCTACCCATGTGTTTAATTCTTGAAAGTAGTTCCACAGGCAAATTTACAATAATTGAGCCGGGCGGTGGTGGCGCATGCCTTTAATCCCAGCACTCAGGAGGCAGAGGCAGGCGGATCTCTGTGAGTTCGAGACCAGCCTGGTCGACAAGAACTAGTTCCAGGACAGGCTCCAAAACCACAGAGAAACCCTGTTTCGAAAAAACCAAAACAAAACAAAAAATAAAATAATTGATCAGCAAGGATACTGTTTTTAAAATGGAATGAATACAATAATTGATCAGCAAGGATACTATTTTTAAAATGGAATGAATTGCTGCATTTCTTCCCTTTTTCAAAAGTTTTGACATTGATTTCCAGTTCTGTTCAAAATCCTCAGACGGAATGGCTAAGCATAGCTGTGCCCTCAAGGTCCTATCCTGGCCTGACTAGTTACCTGTTTTATACTTGGATTATCAACAAATCCAGAGGCATGAGAGGTGACAGGTTCAGAGCCTTCCCACTGCTCCGCAGGTCTCCCAGACAGCTCTGGTGGCCTTCTGCTCTCACAGAACAGGCGTGGGCGATTTGGCTTACCTTAGGCTTCTTTAGGAGAACTTGTGTTTTTATTTTCCTTAGTGTACAACATCCTAGGCCCATAGGACATAAGTTTCCTGGGCTTTGGTAGCCCAGTGGTTCTCAGTCCCCCTAATGCTGCAACACTAATACAGTTCCTCAAGTTGTGACCCTCAACCATAAAATTATTTCTCTTGCTATTTCATAACTAGCAGATACTGGTATGGATTGTATAAAATTCTGTGAATATTTTTGGAGATAGAGGTTTGCTGAAGGGATCACAGTCCACAGGATGAGAACTGCTGGTTTAGAGCTTCTTAGAGGGAATCTTTAAAATTTATGACATTATAATTTGTTATTATTTATATAATAATATGACCAAAGTTCTCTTATAATCAACAGCCACCAAGTGATTCAGAAAGCTAGTGACCTCACAAAGAAAATTCTTTACAACATAACTGTTGCCATTTTTTTAAGATCCATCTAGAAAGCTTTGATTTCTACACTTAATGTACATTATGTCTATTAACTTTGAGCTACTTTCTGGAGTTGCATTGTCCAAAAAGGTAGGCACTGGCTATATATGACCATCTGTAAATGATTACATTTAAAATTCCATTTTCTTCCTCTCACTAGCCACTGTTGAGTGTTCAGCTATGCGTAATGACTACCAAGTAAAGCAGCCCAGATGGGAACACTATTGGGCAGGCAGCACTAAAGATGCAGTTCTACTCCCTTTTCAGAGTAATAATTGTCTAATTTTAGACTAGGCACAGAGGCAGGGAATTACCTCTGAATACTGGTGTCATGGCTGCAAATTCCATTCTCCTGGGGTTAACAGATTGAATATTAATCTCAGAACAGATTAACACCCTGTTGTCACCTTTTTCATTTGTGAAAAGGGGGTTACCAGGCAGGCAGTGGTGGTGCACACCTTTAATCCCAGCTCTCGGGATGCAGAGGCAGAAGGATTTGAGGCCAGCCTGGGCTACAGATGGAGTAACGAGGACAGATTCCAAACTACACAGAGAACCCAGAAAAGAGGTGACTACATCGTGGTATATGGGGCTCACAAGCTGTAGCCTGTGTATCTCTTATTTGAAGTACAGAGGATTGTGGAGTCGGGATAATGTGTTCTAGGGTGTCTGTTAAGCATGGATGTGGCCTCTGGTTCAGATTCTAGCACCACATAAGCAGAGTGGTGGCTCACACCTATATTCCTAACACTTAAGAGGGTACAGACAGGAGGGTCAGAAGTTCAAGGCCAGCCTGAACTACAAAGATAAAAGGTAAGATTTGAAAATAATAGAAGGATCTACACTATCAGAGATGTACTGCCACCTAGATGAGTCTTTAGAGGAGGCACCAAATCCAAACTGCACTCCAATCTTGATATAGTAAGGTAAATAATTTTACAACTGTTCTAGTCATTTAATGTTTAGTCTTTTAGTATCTAGAAGTGACTCTCATCCAGCACAGTCTCTGCCTTCACAAGTGCTCCGTTTTAAAGTGGCTGCTGGAAGTGTTTGCTTGCAGACGCTTGGGAACGTTACCATTCTTCTCGACACTGCTAATGATACTCACCTTACATCGCTGTGTTCAGCAGCACGTTTTGTTTAGTTGTGTGTTTCTAACTTTGAAACCTGCATGTTTATCTCTGAAGGTATTTTGTCAGGCCCCTTGCCAAAAGTCAGAGACACTGAGCTACATCTCTGATCCACTCCTGGCAAAGGGAGGGAAACATTTAATATTTGTCCTTTGGCTCCAAATCTTTGGTTCTTAGTGTTAATGAGTTTTTAATAAAATTAACTCAGACTTACAACAGGGCCACCTCTAGGCATTTTGAGACAAAATGACATAGCAGTATTACATGGTTTGCGTACATATTTCCTAATTAGCTCTGGGTGGAAGGGTTAGAAGCTGCTTTCTCAAGTAAAAAACTAGAACTCTAGGCAGGGGTAGAAAAAGGAATAATACAGGGTAAGCCTGGAAATTTACTGTGTATGGTTCTGGGTGCTGATAATTCTAAATTATAGGAGAGTGAACAGCCCGCTTTCTAGCTGATAGGCTACTGGTATCTCATTTGATGGTGCGCCATACTACAATCCCTTCAGAAAGGCCCTGCTCCCTATTACTACCACATTGGAGGGTAGGACTTCAACAGAGCAGGAGGAACAGGCAAACCATATCACGTATGTGGCCTTGGCCTGACTAACCTAAGTACCTGGAGGCAGCAGCCCTTCATCTTAGCATTACTCCCTGAAGTATGTGGTCTAGTTGAGAAAGACTTTACACATTCAATCCCGATCAGGAAAACCAAGGAAACACTGAAATTGATCACCCACTCGATCTTAACACTTAACTGGCCCTTTAAAAGGCCATTAGTGGAAAATTTGCTAAAATGCAATTGCAGCCTTTCATTAAGAGTAGTACTCAGTCATCACAGCTTAAGACGTTGATACTAGAAACTGCAGGAAAAGGATATAGGAAGAGGACTTTTGTCCTTAAACCTCTTATGTAAATCTGAAATCTTCAAAAAAAAAAGTTGGAACTGATCAATTGTGAAATGGTTTAAAGCTCACTCCAGCTGGGTGTAGCAGGGCACACCTGTCATCCCAGCTCTTGGGAGGCTAAGGTAGGAGAGTCATGAGCACAAGGCAAAAAATTAAAAAAAAAAGATCCATCCTATGTACTTGTAGTAAACCCACATTAGAAGAATCTGGAAGCTGTAGTTACTGCCCTTGGCAGCTGCAGCTCCTACATGACCCAACCTGTAAGTTACTATAGTGCTTCTGTGGCAATTACCCAACAAAAGCAGTGTATGAAGGGAAGGGTTATCTTGGCTCATGATTTAAATATACAGTCCACCATGATGGGACACCATGGCAGCCAGCATGAGGGGCAGAGACCTGCATCCCCTAGTGCTTGTCCCAGAGGCCTTGTAATCTAACAAAATCTCAGTGCAGTGCTGAGTGGGATATTTCCCTCTGAGTTGTTGCTTAGAGAGTCCCTAGAACAATGTATGTCATTGCCCTTCTGCTAGAACTTGATGTTAAGACTCTGTTGCTGAAGGTCTCACACACTCTGGACTTAGAGATTTCTAAGAGGACTTAAAGATCAAGTTGTAATAGCTGGATGCTTCCTCCTGCTGGCTAGCTTTCCCAGTGCCTGGGGTGCTCTTGGAGGCTTCTGGGAGAGGAAAGCTATCAACACTCTTAAAATAACAACTACCCTGGCAAGATGTGTCCCACTGATGCAGTGGTGGCATGAATGTTTTGGGGGTAACAATTTTCTACTTGCAGTCAAGGCCTGCTCCAGGGTTAGGACTGTACCCTTGATCAAGAGCTGGCGGCAGGTAGATCCTAGTACCTAAAGGGGAACCCACTGCTATCACTTTGCTGAAAGGACTTGGTTAAACCACTTTCTAAATACTTGTGTTTGCACAGAATTAGTGTTGCTCTTGGTTTTCATCAGAAAAGCTCTATTACAATAGACAACAGGTAACATAGAGATTCCTAACTGGTTAAAGAGCTGAAATAAAGGCTGATGGATTGACTGCTCATCCCCAAATGGCTGGTCTATACCACCCATTCCAGGCTCAAGGAACGTTATTGAAGAGGGGGAGACAGGAATAATAAAGAGCTGGAGGATGGGGAGATATGTTACAAAATGAAGTCTTCCTGCTACATTGATGAGCTCTGCAGTTGTGGTTGCCAACATGTCAAGACAGTCCTGCCAACATTTCATCATGGGAAGAGGAGAGGCCCATGAGGCCCCGCCCCCTGAGGGATCACGGACAGTTAGTAGTGGCTGGGGGAAGGGATATCATTCTTCAGTGGTATAACCTACTCCTCTCTGGAGGGAAGCAACCTCCCAAACAGCCAGGCAAGTAGCCCTACTTGAACTCAGTGGGGCACACAGAAAAAAGGCAGTGGGAAGGGGACTTGGAAAGTTTTCAGTGGGGGAGATGAGCGTAGCAGCAGGTGAAAAGGACTAAAATTCATTATATACATGAAATACCTGGCAAAGAATTTAAGAAAAAGTTGCACGCCTGGAGTACAACTTGTAGCCAGCTCAGTCAGGAGAGCCCCTTCCCAGCACTTGTTACCACTTACATGACGCTGGGAAAGAGCACAAATCTCAGGGCTTTCTCAGATTTCAATTGCCTGAACCTTGCTGGTTTCTTTTACTTTGTTGGTTGGAAGGAGCCTACCTCCAGGACTTGAGAGGAAATGGCAGTATCACAGTAGGTATTGTCCTTCAATCATAGGCCTATTTTTACTGTCTGCGAATAGCTGAAACCATCACAAAGATCTCACTGCATTGCTTTGTCTTAGACAGGTGTCACTGTGTAGACATAGCTGGCCTGGAACAAACTCTGTATACCCAGTTTGCCTTGAACTCAGAGATCCACCTGCCTCTGCTTCCTGAGCGCTGGGATGAAAGGCGCGCGCACACAACCACCGCTCCAGTCAAGTCTCTAGTTTAAAGGGTGGCTACTTAGACCTCATTTCTCTAAGGAAAATCAAAGTCACGTAGCTGGACACAATAGCACATGCCTGTAACACTAGTATTTGGGAAATTGGGGCCGTAGATCAAGAGTTTCAGGCCAGCCTGGGTTACAAAGTGAGACTTTATATCAAAAAAATAAATAAAAATAAAAGACGGACACACTTGTGACCAGGTAGCAAAATACAAATCGCTGGTTTTTCCATTCGAAAATAATTTCAAGACTGTTTTATGAAAGTGGTTGAAAACTTAAATACAGGTCTGGTTATCAGATATTGTTTGTAATATCTGCCAACACATGAGGACTGTCATCAGGGCTCCCACCAGGGACCGTGTCTGTAGCCCATGCTGCCAGCGGACAACATGTTGAATGAGGTCTGCCGTCTGTGCCGCTGCCCGAACCCATGTTGATGTTCATGGTGTGATTCCTAGAGTTGTTACACAGAGAGAGCCTATCTTGAAAAACCAAAAAGCAAACAAGAAAAACCCCGAGTCTTCAAACTGCCTCCTAAATAAGTGCCTGCTCCTTCAAGACCCTGCTCCAGTGACATTGCCACTTTGAATATCTCATTTCTTAGCACTGTTGACTGAGGTTTTCTGTCCTGCCCAGTCCTGCAACCATTCAGTCCCAAAGAATCACACAGAGGTCTACATTAGTTATAAACTGATTGGCCCATTAGCTCAGGCTTTTAATTTATTCTTATAACTTACACTAGCCCATAATTCTTGTCTGAGTTAGCCACATGGCTTGGTACCTTTTTCTGTGAGGTAGTCACATCTTGCTTCCTCTATGGCTGGGTCACGACTGCAGACTGCAGAATCCTCTTCCCGGAATTCTCCTGTTCTCATTGCCCGGCCTCTACTTCCTGCCTGGCTACCAGCCAATCAGCATTTTATTAAACAAGTATAAAAAAACAAATGTTGAGAGGGTAATACCATTGTCCTACATACAGCACAGCATCTTCCCTAGTTGATAATCCTTTGGTTTGTGATTTATAATACTTTATTTAGTACTTAACAACTGGTTTAAGAGGAGCTGTCAATCACACTAGGCAAGCTCTACCACTTAGTCACTTACCTATCTCTTGACAGCCTGCAACAGCCTTCAAGGCAGGAGTAACATCTACAGTTCCCTGGTTCATCGGTGTCCCTTAAGACTTAGGCAATGAATAAAAATAACCATTACATCCTATTTCAGGGCCTGCACTGGTACAGTATGCTTCTATTAAAAAGCAAGATATCTTTTTATTTATTTATTTATTTGTTTGTTTGTTTATTTATTTATTATGTCTGTGTGTATGCCTGCAGGCCAGAAGAGGGCAGCAGACCTCTTTACAGATGGTTGTGAGCCACCATGTGGTTGCCAGGAATTGAACTCAGGACCTTTGGAAGGGCAGGCAATGCTCTTAACCACTGAGCCATTTCTCCAGCCCAAGAAGCAAGATATCTTAATTTGGTCCAGAAAATAAATGATATTAGGCACCTTTGAAATTGCTTACTGTCTAGATTTTCAGCCACTACCCTAAGAACTACCACATTCTTCAAACCATAGAGAGTCCTGCATGTTGTAAACTATTTACAAAGAAATGGTTATTTCTTTCTCCTCACCTTCCTCCACAAACAAGGAAAGAATCAAGAAAAAGCAAAGGAAAACAAAAGTGGCAACCAGTGGTCACTTTCCACTTCAGCCCCCTCAAGTCACAGAATCAGACATTCAAGAGATTGAAGAATCTGACATCAACCAGGATGACACTCAGCTGTTACTAGAGAGGGACCAACAAGCCATTAAGTTACCAGTTTAAGATAAGAAATAGAAACGGGGGTTAGAGAGATGTTTGATGTTTAAGAGCACTTGCTGCTTTTGCAGAGGGCCAGGCTCACTTCACATAGTGGCTTACAACCGTCTGCAACTCCAGTTCCTGAGGATCCAATGCCCTCTTCTAGACTCCAAGGGCACTGCACACATGGGGTACAGATATACATGCCGAGAAGACACCATACACATAAAACCAGAATAAATCAACTTTAATAAAGAAATGGAAACAGAGTCCAGATGCTTTAACTCTTGTCCCCAGCCCCAGGCCTAACGCCTGGTTTCTGTCACAACTGTACATCATCTGTGCATGCCTAAACATCACTTTCTAAGTCTGGAATGAGAGTGTGACTATTCCAAATTTCCATTTTGAAGCCTGCAGATCTGGTAGAAGCAAAACACTACAAACCACTCAGTAACAAATTCACATCCTATATGGACATTTGGTACCCTAAGAACTAACTAGCTGTGACTGCATTGAATTACTCAGTGATTAACTCTGCATCCTTTTTGTCTTCTTATTTTACAGTCAAGAAAAGTGAGATTGAATGTCTCATACGCTTTTTCTGTAGCTTGGCGGAAAGGCCCAGTGGAAAGCTTGCTAATGCCAGACTAGACTGCAACACGTTTCGAGGGATCCTACACAACATATTTGGAATGACTGATGATACGTTGATGAATAGGGGTAAGGAGTCACAACAAACGGAACCCGTCCACAAGACTGGACTTTCTCTCAGTGCCAAACTAGAGAGGAATGGTCCTGGCAGGAGAGTGCTGCACACAGCAGCCAGGGGGAATGTGAGGATGGATTTCAGTACAAGCCATGCCGAATTCTGTAGCTCATAGCAGGGAAGTTTTGAGAAATCACCACCACTGAACTAAAGAGTCTAGCGGTATCTTTTAAGGACAAACAACTGAGGGCTTTTAGTCATGAAAGTACACGCCAGAGCTGTGGATCCTCAAGTCCAGGTCACCGATGTGTAAACCATTAACTGGCGTTTTTTCTTCATATAAACGTGTCAGTAAAAACCGACATTTTATATTGGAAGGATTTAATGTCACGTGTCTAAAACACGAAAGTGATTGGTGTATCAGTTAAGTTCTGTAGCAGATCATTAAAATATACATTTTTGATAAGATTTGACACATGCATATCTGTGAAGCCATTGCCACAAACAAAATCATCAATATACCCCTCATCTCCATTCAAATGTTTTTCTATAGGATACTAAAGTTTCATTGATAACTTTAAAAACTGGACAGGCAAGATAGGTCAGCAAGTCTGGCTTCCTGAGCTGCAGTCCCCAGAAGCAACCTAAAATGGAAGAGAGCCAATTCCACAAGGCTTTGCCCTCCACACAAGGCCATGGTACATGTTCGTGCACTCACACGCACACAAGTGAGAAACACATAAGAAATGTTTAACATTAGTAATTTAGTTTGAGACGTGGAAACTACAACAGGTTTCTCACAGCTTTTTATTTTTGATTATTAAACTGTCGCTAATTAGCTCTAGATCTTCTTGGCTTTAGCAACTCCATGAAACACCACAAATGAGGATCATTATTGCTCATTGTGTGGAATGACTATTCTGCTTTAGAAATAAAGAGAAAAACCCACATTACTAATAATTTTGATTCTTTCAAAAGCTAACACCAAAACAGTTCCTCCTTGATTTGTAAGTAAAGTTTTCTATATAAATGGGTTGTGTGTGTGTGTGTGTGTGTGTGTGTGTATGTCTTATAAAACAATTACAATAGACTTAAACACTCCTTTTCCTTTTCAGTGTTCTATGTATTTGACAAAGACAGTGATAACTATATAAATGCACAAGAGTGGGTTAAAGGACTGTCAGTGTTTCTCCGAGGAACTTTTGAAGAAAAGATGAAATGTAAGAAACAAGTACTGTCTTAGTGCTATGCCATCAATCCTGTGCTTATGTGTGGGTGCAGTGACAGAACCGGCACCCTAAAAGGGACAAGACAGTGTTTTCTGGAGCTGGTTAACTAGAGTGACCACAGCTGGGAACATATTCAGGTTTACCCAATTTGCATATTTGTGATCACAAAGTTATAGATAGATCAAACACTTTTAAAATTGGTGGCAGCACTGGGTAGGTGGTCACAGCATAGCAGGGGACTTGTTACAAACCTCACTGGTGACATTTTTAGCTTCTGGGCTGGTGGAAACATTCCAAAGGATTAACCGAATAGTCACCAGGATGTCAGGTCACATTCAGAGGAGAAAATAAATGGCCATTTAAAGTAGCTAAAGATAGTCCAAGGTAATTAGGCTCTAGACTCCAAGTATTCCAAAATTACTGGAGTTCTCATTAGTCAGCCTTAATAGACGGAGCTTCTTCCAGGAATGACTGTTCACAGGTGAATGCTTATAGAACCAAACAGATGAAATCAGTGTGCTCTACAGCACCCTTGTGAAAATGCCTCATGAGGGCCAGCAAGATGGTTCGTCAGGTGAGGGCGCTTGCCACCTGTCAACCTGAACGCACACACAGTAGGAAAGAACCAATTCCTGAAAGTTGTTTGCTGACCTCTATGAGCATAAATGCATGCTTACATGCATGCATAAATGTAAAAATAAAATAGAAGAAAACCCACAAAAGATAAATTGGGAGACCCAGTTGTGACCCATTGCCTTTACTGAGTCTGTCATGCTCAACTGTTACAGCCCACTGACAAGACTAAGGTTTCCGAGCCTGTGTGAGCTCAGCAGAAAACAGGCCTTGAATGTACGCATGTGTCGTTTGGGTGTTGAAAGTGTGTGAATGAGGATGAAGCTCAACATGCCCTAACAGCCCAGACGTTAATATCCCTCTGGTCTTCATGACTGAGGAGAGGGAAGTGAGAACAGGCTCAAGACAATTCCAAATCAAAGGAATGCTGGGCACTGGGACGCGTGCGGATCCGCAGCTCTGCACAGCAACCCCCCTCAGGGTAACATCCATGCCCTATGTTTTATTCCTGCTGTCAGGATTCCCTGGGATGAATTCTGGAAACAGAATAAAAACTAATTTAGATACCAGTTTTCAGAGAAACAAACTGATTACCATGTCCATTTGCTTAAGAAAAGACTACAGAGTTCTTTGTAATGGAGCAAGTTTGTGTATCTTTTTGCTCTTTCACTTTAATTGAATTTGGGACACAGAAAGAGAAGATGCCTGGAGCATAGAGGGAAGAGCGCGGGCTGCTTTCCCAGAGGACCCAAGGTTGACTCCTAGCACCCATGCTGGCTGGCTCCAGAGGATTCAATACCCTCTTCTGGCCTCTGGCAGGCACCTGCACACACCCAGCACTGTAGAGATAGGAACAGCGGGCTGTGTTCCTGCCGCCCGGGCTCCCAGCCGCCTGGCTAGCTTATGCCCTGAAATAACAACACAGAAATTGTATTCATTTAAACACTGCTTGGCCCATGAGTTCCAGCCTCTTAATGGGCCAGGCAGTGTTTAAATGAATACAGTTTGTGTGTTGTTATTTCAGGAGTAAAGCTAACCATGCAGGAGCCGGGCGGGACGAAAGCAGGCCTGCCCACAGCTCCTTCTACACAGCACATACTCACATAAATTTTCTAATAAACATATTTCTAAGCTAAAAATACATTAACATTTTGGAGCAGTATTTTGAATAACCAAACTTCTCTGCCATTCAACGGTTCTGTGCCCTCTGTAGTTCTCACGTTTACTATTTCATGAGGTAGCTCCCACTCTGTCACGTCTGGGAGTGCCATGTAGTGCCGGGGACTGAATCCAGGACCTCGCACATTTTAAAGCAAGCACTCTAACCCGTCCCTCACTCCAATTCAGCTCCTCCAACCGTACAGGGTTCTTACACAAGTCTCACGAGAAGTGAGAAGCTGTATCGTAGTTGGGCCACATGATTAAATAACACTAGAGATGATCTGTCTTCTCTAGTCCACTTCCTCAAATGCTTCTGACACATTTTAGGAGAGGCTCACTTGGGGAACACTGTTTTCTACAGTGGGTTTCTTCTTAAACTTGTACGTTAGACTGTGGACTGGAGAAGTTTTAATAGATACTCATCTCATCTGACACTCGATTTTCTTCCTGGTTTTTGCCAAAACATTCAGCTACACCACTGAACTCTAAGAAAGCTACTTCACTGCTGCATTCCCAGGACATGATATAGAATGCATGGAAGTCCTCCCCAGAGAGAGGCTTGAAGATGAGGTAGATGGGCAGACCCCAGGAGATGAAGACATCCACTGTCTGGGGGAGGGGAGATCCTTTTGTGAGGATGCAGTAAAGTGTGTGCTTCATTTTTATAGTCTATATGCAGAGAATACAAACACGCCACACACGCTTATGTAAATACACATATATAACATAGAAACAAAAGCTGGTTAAAAAATCCACCTCATTTATTGCAGCTTGATATACTTTGAAACCCCAAATCCAGGAACCTCTAAAGGGGTATTTAATCCTTTGGAAAGAAATTTAATAAGAAGCACTTTATTATAAAACCTCTGCAATATAGTGGATCAGATCAGTAATTGTATATGTATCATTTATTATCTTATACTGAAATAACTAATGATATCTTATTGGTTCAATTTTTGATTTCTATGTTTTATAAAGTCTGTTTTGAAGTTTATTATTTAACTGGAGATGGTTATATTTCCCGGGAAAAGATTTTTGACATGTTGAAGAATAGTCTCTCCCAGCAGTCCCCCGAAGAAGAAAATGAGGAAGGAATAAGGGAGTTGGTGGAAATAAGCCTGAAGAAAATGGTAAGCACGGGCATGGCGAAGCACTGCATTCAAGCGAGTAGCTCTGCAGAGGCATGGCATGAGTGACGGCTGTTCCTCCACAGCGAGTCCCTTCCCTATGGACAGTTCTCACTTGATCTGCCTCACGGAAAGCGGGCGCTCGGTACATATGGAATGGTTTGGTGATTACATAATCATTATGCAAAATAAATGTTAGTTTAATTATTTTAAAATATTACTACCAGTAAAACCTTATTAATTTGGGAGGAAGCCAGATTCAACAGATGTAAAATCTTGTGCTTTGTGTCTTCATGATTTCATTCTTTCAATTTATCTAAACCCTCATTTTAGCAAAATAACCTGTTGTAATAGGAGCGGCGGGGCTGCGTCCCCAGCACCCCGGCCGCCTGCTAGCTTATGCCCGAAATAACAACACACAAACTGTATTCATTTAAACACTGCTTGGCCAATTTCTATCTAGCCTCTTCTAGGCTAATTCTCACATATTAATTTAGCCCATTTCTAATCATCTGCATAGCACCGCTAGGTGCGCTTACCAGGGAGATTCTAGCCTACGTCCATCCTGGGTCAGAGCTTCATCGCATGTTTCTGCCCGGGAGCAAGGAGCATGGCGTCTCTGAGCTCACTTCCTCTTCCTCCCAGCATTCTGTTCTGTTTACTCCTCCCACCTATGTTTTAACCTATGAGGGCCAAGCAGTTTCTTTATTGCTTAACCAATGAAATCAACAGATTGATATATGACACTCCCACATCAATAACCACAATAAAAAATATTTGATCCTTACAGAGTGCTTATTACATAGCAGGCCTTTCAGGGTCCTCTATCGTATTAATCCATTTTATCCTTAGAACTACTGTCTCTACTTTTCAGATGAGAAAAACTAAAGTAGAGAAATTGTGTAGAATTAAAGCAACAAAACCTTGCAGCGGTGGCTCCTTATTACAGGAATAGTGCTGCTCACTCTTTCCTTACAAGGACCCAAAACAACAAACTCAGTGATGTTACTCAAAGAGGAAAGGGTGCGTGCCTGCAATCCCAGCACTTATATGTCTGAAAGATTGCAAGTTCCAGACCAGCTGGGGTCACACTGTGAGACTATGTCACACACACACACACACACACACACACACACACACACACACGGGGTGCGGGGAGAGAAAAAGAGGGGGACAGGGAGAGACAGACACAGACGGGGAGAAAGATAAGGCATGCTCTTGTAAAATACTAGCGGCTGCTCAGGCTGAGTGCAGATGCTGAAGAATCACTGGCAGGAAGTCCCCAAATCCCTTTCTGGAAAGGAAATGTTTATGAAATGCGCCTTTCTCTCATGCCATTCACACTGCTCTCTAGATCAGAGTCTGAAGTTATGCACAAAAATGAAAATTCACAGACTTCTTATCCAATCCAATCTGAAGCAGCAGCTTCAGATATTCAAAATTCACAGAGTTTCCCTGCCCTGGATGCTACACAATATACGTAATCTCTCATAAACCTTGTCCATAACACTTTGCTGACTCACACCCTTGCTTTCTACTGTGATTCAAGTGGACAGAACTTTACAGGCCCCCCACACCTTCCAACTTAGCCAGATCTCAGCAGAAGCCTGGAGCCTCCATTCCATGAGTCTAGCCCAGTCTGGACAGTCACTGTGATAACTCCATGTGCCTTGCCCTTAACGGCTGACCTTTCTCCTAATGAGCTCCCAAATAAAGCCTTTTGAGAAATAAAATTGTGATGAAATATCTGAGCCACATTATACTTGTGTAATTGCAAAAGGGACAGTAGGATAATACAGTTCTTCCAATGTTTTGCTATTCCTCAATTCCAGTGTGTTCCTGACAGGGCTGCACTGTGTATAGCTAAGAGACTTGGGTCAGAAGAATAAGTCAGTGACTTCTATTAAAAATACCATAGATTTGTGTCAATAATATCTTCAGCAGTAGGAACTCAATAGTTTTACAGGACAGTCTAGATAATTAATTTTCTATGGCAAAATTAAAAAAGACTTGGATTATTTATCATGACATCACCTTTCCCTCTAGGACCATGACAATGATGGCAAGATCTCTTTTGCAGACTTTGAAAAAGCGGTAAAAAAAGACAGGCTTTTGTTGGAGGCCTTTGGACCATGTCTACCAGATGCAAAGGTAGTTACAAATACTATACTTAAAGTAGATGAGAGAAAAATGTCATTAAAATTATATAACGTGTGTGTGTGTGTGTGTGTGTGTGTGTGTGTGTAAGGTATGCATACCATGTGCCCACCAGTTTTATGCCAACTTGACACAACCTAGAGTCATCTCAAAGAGTGACCTGAGAAGATGCCTCCGTAAGATCGGGCTGTAGGACATTTTCTTAATTAGAGATCGACGGGGGATGGTTCAGCCCATTGTGAGGGGTTGTCATCCCTGGGCTGATGATGGCCTTGTGTTTTATAAGAAAGCAGGCTGGGCAAGCCAAAGGAACAAGCTGGTAAGCAGCACTTCTCCATGGCCTCTGCACCAGCTCCTGCCTCCAGGAGCTACTACTTTGTTTTGAGTTCCTGTTCTCATTTCCTTCAGTGATGGACTACAGTGGAGGTATAAGCCAAATAAACCCTTTTCTCCCCAACTTGCTTTTGATCATGGTGCTTCACTGCAACAATAGTAACCCAATCCAGGACATGCCACAGTGCTTGCGTGGCAGCCAGAAGACAACTGTAGGAACCTCTTCTCTCCTGCAGCCATGTGGGTCCCAGAGAATTGAACTCAGGTAGTCAGGTTTCTAAGCAAGTGCCTTTACAAACTCTGCCATCTTGCTGGCCTAGTTAAGGAAAAATCTAAAGAACTAGAAAATAATACATGATAGTCTCTCCCCTTTGTAGCTTCAACCCATTGCTAAATTGTAGACAATCATAAAGTCATCAGCCTCATTCCAGTTTGGGGCTAAAGATATTACCATTTCAGTAATTATAGTTAACAGACTTGGATTTAACTTGCTAACTCTTTGGCCACACAAAGAAAGGAATAAGCATGTGCCATGGAAAGAGAAAGAGGCAGGAGGCGCACACACACACACGCCCCGGGAACATGGAGGGGAAGGGAGGGAGAGACTGATGACAGAACATAGCTTAGCAAAAATGGACAGGACTAGGGAGACTATTTAGGATTGAGCAGCCACAGACAGTTCTGTTGCAGTGTGGTCTTGTGGTACCTCGACTGCTGTGAAGTCATCTTGAAGATGACTCCTGCCTCTTCCTCTTCCTCTTTCCCTGCTTGACAAGGCACAAGCCTATCCCTTTCCTGTCATGGCCACTACTGTGTATGAAGTGGATAACCAAACATTCTTTTCACACTCACAAAACAGATCAGGAATGCACTTATGAACAGAAAACCGACATAACAGCTCCTCCCATGAAGGCCAGAAGAGAAGTTTCTGGACTGCCACACAGCAAACTACATGGGAAATTATCTTCTTAACCATTTTTAGCAGTACAACCCACTCTCCAAACCCTTTTCCTCCTGTAAAGATGCAATTCAGCACCAATGAAGAACTCCTCATTCCCCTCCCCTCATGGTTGCACACTGCATTTACCAGGGTCCTGAGGTAGACATAACGCTTCCTGTCTGAGCAGACTGATTCAGAGAGCATTTGTTCTTTCCAGCTGTGTTTAGGCTGTTAATAGACTTTTTACCTGAGATTCCAGCACAGCAATCTATATAACCACCTCTTGTAAATGGAGAACCTAATCCCTTGTTGGCGATTTCCTGTAGCATCATCCAGCCCTGAAAAGCCATACTGGCAGAGCTGACAGCACCCCACAGCAACTGAAATAAGCCTTATCTTATGACACGGTCAGCCACAACTCACTGAAGAAGGTCCTTAGGGACAAGAACCAGCATGCATACAGCACACAGTGCCTTCTTAGTTTACTTTTCCCAGTAAAGAAGATAGAAATAGCCTGCACAAAAGTACATGGTCCACTGACAGAAGAAGAGTACAGATATGCTGACAGGATAGAAGCCTAGAGTTTCCAAAGTTAATTCGTTTTTAGATTACCGTAATTCATGTAAGTTATTCTTAGAAGCTACAATAGCATGTGTATTTCTAGATCTCTGCTCTAACATGTATCGGCATTTTTCCTTTACAGAACTGCCTTCATTTTGAAGCTCTGATATTCAGAAACAATCAGACTACTAGTTTTTGAACACGAATTGCTCAATACCTGCATTTAAGTCAGATCTGGTTGCATTACAGATTGTTATATTTATTTCAAACAATATAAATATTGTAACGTAAGAACTAATACAGTGTGAAAAGAACAGTTTCTGCTACATTGAGTGTAAATCCAAAAAGGATATACACATTTGCACACAGCTTAAAAAGAAATACAGAAAAATTAGTTTACTCTAAAACACCAGTAGTAAGATACTGTAAATAATTAAAATGCTAAACATAAAAAACAAAACAAACAGAAAACAAAAGGATCTCTCCAGAAAATATCATTTTAGCTTGGTGTGGTAGTACACCTTTAATCCCAACACCCAGTGGCAGAGGCCCAAAGCCAACCTGGTCTACACAGAGAGTTCCAGCCAGCAACAGCTACCCAGTGAGACCCTGACTCAAAAAGAAAAAAGAAAGAGAAGACTAACTTGCTGGCAAGCTATATTCTTCTTCTTTGTTTTTGTGGGTGACTTGTATACGTATCTTCCTCTGGAGTCTTTGGCACAGATGAAATCACCTGGTTTAAGAAGAAGAAAAACCACTCAGCAGTAGACAGCAACAGATAGTAAAAACTGGACAGAAATAAGTAAAATGTAGACTAAAAGAACAATACACAGGAACAACCAAATAAGGACTTATTTCCTTACACAAGTAAGATTAACAAACTAAGAGCGGGAGGGAAGGGAGAAAGGCGGGGAGAAAGTATAAACACACCAAAACAAACTAATCAATCAACCAAAAAAACAGGAAGGTTTTACAGATTCCAGTGAAATTCAGAAAATCATTTGGAAATTCTTTGAAAACATATTTCAAAAACCTGGAAAGTCCAAAGAAATGGATAAATTCCTAGTCAATATATTGACGGACCAGCCCGAACCTTCTTAAGATGAGAAACTACCTTGTTACAAAGTCAAAAAAGGTTCATTCCTGTTTTCTATAAAACTTGTATTTGACCATGTCTTCACCCATATTCTGGAATTTGACATGTTCCAGACCTTATTCCTTGACCTCTATCTTGTGAGAAGTTTTGCTCAATAATTTTGAGATGTTCTGCCAAATTCCTACATAACCAAAATTCCTGTGGAAACCCTCGAACCTTGACAACCCCCTCGCCTTGCAGATCTTGAACTATATGAATTCTACTCTCTATTATGTTCAATGCTATTTTCGGTATGAATCTCACTCAATTATATTCAACGCTATTTTCTCAACCCTGCTTTAGGAAGACAGCCCTGTCTGACAGAAAACAAAGCTTGCTTAATTCAACTAAAAGAATTTGGGTAATGGTCTTTACTCTCATTTGGTGGGATTACTATTATGATCTTTTAAAATTAACTCAAGAAGATTAAAATATCAATAAAAGTCCCTAGAAAAGTAATATCCAAGACCAATGGATTCACTTCTGAATTCTACCAACCCTTAAAGAAGAACTAACACCAATGCTCCTCTAACTAGTTAAAATGGCAGAACATTATTATCTAAAGCATTCTAAGAAGCCAGCATCAGCCTGATAACAAGTCATACAGGAACCAACAAACAAGAAAACTATAGCCCAATTCCTCTGATCAACATAAAAGTAAAAGTTTTCAATAAAATTATTGCAAATGGACAGGGGCAGGAGAGATGGCTGAGTGGTTTTATACCACTGCCTGCTCTTCCAGAGGTCCTGAGTTCAATTCCCAGCCAACCACATGGTGGCTCACAACCATCTGTAATGAGATCCGGTGCCCTCTTCTGGCCTGCGGGCATACATGCAGACAGAACATTGTATACATAATAAATAAATAAATAGATTATTGCAAATTAAAGAACACATTAAGATCATATAACCACAACAAAGCTAGTTTCACTCCTAGGATTTCCAGGAAGGCCCCCACATAGGAAACACAGCACATAGAATCAAGAACAGAAATTACGTGTTTATCTTGGTACATATTAGAGGAAGACACAGAATTTCCTTTAATATCAGAAATTAAGACAAGAGTGTCCATTTCTTTCCATCTTATTCAATTTAATATTGTGAGTCTAAGTCAGAGCAAAAAGACAAAAATAAACAGAAAAGAAAATGTCAGATTATTTCTATTTGTAGACTACACAACCTTATACTTAGAAGACTCTACAACCTTATACTTAAAAGATTCTAAAGTCTCATCTAGAAAACTCTTAACTATGATAAGCAGTTTCATCAAAATATACAAAAATCAATAAAAGTAGCTTTTCTATAAAGCAATAAACTTGCCAAGAGAAAAAAAAATCCCATTAACAATAACAACAACAAAACCAAATGGCTGGGAAGACAGCTCAGGTGAGAGGTCCTTGCCATGCAGATCTTCAGCCCCAGGTCAAAAGGCTGGATGCAGTAGTGTACACCTACAGCATCGCACTGGGGAGACAGACAGTAGGCTGTGCAGCAGCCAGCCTAGCCAAACCAGTGAGCTCCAGGTTAAGAGAGAGATTCTCTCTCAAAAACAGAGGTAGAAAGTGACAGAGGAAGCCATGTGCACACATACATGAACATGTACATACACATACACCACACACTTAAACCCTGGAATACATTTAGTCAGGTCAAAGATCTCTAGTCAAAACCATAATATAGTGAGAAAAGACACTGAAAAAAGACACCAGGAAATTGCAAGACCTCTCATGTTCATGGACTGGCAGAATTAATTTTAATAATCTATAATTATTATTCTGCCCCATCCCACCCACACCACAGTGTGCAGCTTGTGGGAGTGGATGCTAGAACAGAACACAGGTGGTCAGGCTTGGCATCAAGTCCTCGACCCACTGAGCCAGCTCATTAGCCCCTGGCAGAATTCCTTTTTTTTTTTTTTGCTTTTGTTTTTTGTTTGTTTTTTGAGACAGGGTTTCTCTGTGTAGCCTTGGCTGTCCTAGAACTTGCTTTGTAGACTAGGCTAGCCTTGAACTCACAGAGATCCACCTCCCCCTGTGTTCAGAGTGCTGGGACTAAAGGCATTTGCCACCAGTGCTCGGCAGAATTAATTTTTAAAACTATATTTATCCATTTGTGTATGAGGGAATGCATATGAGTATGAAAGTCAGAGGAAAACTTGTAGGAATTGGTTCTCTTCCTACCATGTGAGTTCTGAGGATTGGACTCAGGCTTGTGGAAAGTACCTTGGCCCACTGAACCCTCTCACTGGTCCTGGCAGAACTAACATTGTGAGAGTGGCTATTATTCCCAAAAGTGACCTGTAGAATAAACACAATCCTTATCAAAATATCAAAGACACAATTCCAAAAACAAGGAAAAAAAAACTGTCCTAAAATTCACATGGAGGTACAAAAGACTCCTGAAAAGCTAAAGAATCTTAAGTAGTGAGAGCAAGGCTAGACAAGGAACGACATCTTATCTCAGATTACAGAGCCGTGGTGACAGAAGCAGCGCAGGAGAAAGAATAAAGAACAGTGGAACGGAAGAGAGGACCCAGAAATGAGCCAACACAACTACAATCACAGACTTTTTGACAAAGGTATCAAAAACACGGGGGGGGGGGGGGGGGGGGGCGGGAACGGGGGACGGGGACAGCATTTTCAACAAAGGGGGCTAAAAAACTGGATTTCCACAGAAAATGAACATTGGATCTGTACCCCTTACTGCATGCGCGCGCACGCGCGCACACACACATACATACACACACACACACACACACACACACACACACACACACCCCTGAAGATGGATTAAGGACCTTAAGTAACAAACTCCGAGGCAGACAGATGAACTCCAAACAGACAGACTGCATGGAACTGAAGGGCACAGAGATAGATTGCGGAATGGGGATCTCGGCTAACTAAACAAGTAAGGAGTTAATAATGAGAATCTCTAAGAACTGTAAAAGTCATAAAGTAAAAAAACCCAAGTCATCCAGTCAATAAATAGGCTAATGAGTAGAACAGATTTCAAAAGAAATACATATGGCCAATAAATATTTGAAAGTGTTCAACATCATTAGCCATCCGTGAAATGCAAATGAACAAATCACATATCTCTAAACAAATGCAAATGAAAACTACGTTGGGATTTCGCCAGACAGAACAGCTACAATGAAGAAAACAAACAGGACACAGACAGACACTCTGGTTTTACTGGGTGTAACTTCTTGGGCTGGCCTGGTCTGGCACGCACTATGTAGACTAGAGGTCTGTCTACTTCTGCCTGCTGAGTCTGCACCATCAAATTTTGAAGCATTTGTAATAACTGATAAATTTAAAGACAGGACTGTTCAGTGTGAGAGACGAAAAAAAAATTGGAAAAACTATCATAAAAATGGTACAATCTTCAACTCCCAGGAGGGCCGGGGGAGGGATGAACACTAAATACATTGTTATTATTCCATTACCCAAAGTTACTATTAATATTAGGTCAAAAGCACTATTAAGAACATCTTGATTTGAAATGGAAGAATACTAGAAGCTGTGGTAAAGTATTTCTTTTTGTTGTTCTTTTATTTCCATGTATGAGATGTAGACTTTGCACTTTAAAAAGCGGTCAGCCCTGACTGAGACAGCTGTCACCTGTGTCTACGCTGCAGTTCAGTGCACCCGGGGATATACTGTGCTGACACACACCGACACAATTTGGTAGTTAAACATAAAATCCATGTTCATACACTTACTATCTGAAGCAAGTCCTCATCCTTTACCAAATAATAACCATTAGGTGGAAAACAAAACTCTGTAAAAGAAATGAGGTCACCTTAGCCTCTCTTAGTCACATTGCCAAACGGGAGAGCAACTGTGCGAACAGGACTGTGTATCCGGGAGTTAGCCGTGAGAACACGCCACATCTCTCCATGGACGGTTTCTACAAGGACTAGCTCCACTCCACAAAAGGAAAGCTTTCATGAGCTACTTCATATGTTCACTTTCTATGTAAATAACGGGAAAAGACAATCTGATTTCCAACGAGTTCAACTCTTTGAGGTTCATACATAAAGTGTCAAGTGTAGGGCAACTGACGACTCGATTTTTAGAAAT